TTTTGCTTGCTGCTTCACAGGTATAGAACAGTGTGAAATACACAAGAGAGCTGTTTAAGCTTATAGTGAGATGAGGGCATGTGACTAAATACCTGAAACAGAAGACTGCATATCAGAACAGAAGCACTTCTTCAGGCAGGCTTAGAATAAAAGAGAGCTGGCCTTCAGAAAACCAGGACCTTCTGGTCTACCTCCATATGCGTCATCTTTCCTGTTGCTGTGATAGACTAGCTGACAAAGGCAACTCAAGGAAGAAGTTGTCTGGCTCACAGTTAAGGCTGCACCCACCATGGAGAAGAGTCAGCTGGTCACATTGCACTTGCACTCAAGCAGCAGAGAACAGTGGATGCTGAGTCCCATGCTGCTTCTCCTTTTTGCTCAGTTCAGGACCCCAGCCCATAGAATAGCACCACTCCAGTTAAGGTGGGGCTTCACAATTAATCTAATTTAGATAGTTACTCACAGGCAGCTTAGTTCCCTTTCTTCTTGTTGTGATAAAATGCCCTGACCAAAACAACTTAATGGAGAAAGTGTTGATTTCAGCTCATGGTTTAAGGCAAAGGCCATCATGGTGGGCAGTCAAGGCAGGAGGAGCTCAGAGCATCTGCTCACACATTGTGTCCACAGTCTACGAACAATGAATCTGTATCTGTATTTGTGCTCAGCTCACCCTCTCCTTTTTTATACAATCCTGGATCCCCTTCCCAGGGAATGGTGCCACCCAAAGTGAGCACGTCCTCCCACACTAACCACTGGGGTCAAGACAGTCCCTCACATACATTCTCAGAGATACTTCTCCCAAGTAATTCCAAGTTCGGTCAAGGTGAAGCTTAGCACTAACCGTCACACATGCCTAGAGGCTCATCTTCTGTGTACTTCCGGACTGTCTCCACTTGACAGCATTAATCCTCACAACTTATCCAAGGCTAAGCATGATTGGTAAGAAGAACCTAGTCTCTGAAGAAAGACTGATTGCAGACAGGACATGAGTGAAGTGATACAGCTGGGAAAACGTAGGACAGGTTTCAGTTTGAACTCAGTGAAATATGTAAGGGAGACTGTAGACGGGTAACACTAGAACTCACAAGTCAGATTATGTCTTTCTTTGCTCAAAAACTTGGCTTATGTTTCTCATTTTATTTCAGCCACAATATCAAAGTCCTTATTGTTGAATTCCATCATTTAGTCAGCCCTTCAACTGCCAGTTTCTAATGCTGTCTTCCTTGGTCCTTTTTCTGGAGCCATAGTTGCTCCCTCATCAGGCCATAGCACTTCTAATGCAGGGCCCACTTCCTCAGCGTGCAGCTCTTTTCTCCCAGGTTCCTTCACTGTCTTCATCAGACAGGCCTCTTTTCTGTTTCTCTATCATAGTCCTTCCCCACTTTTACTACTTCCCAGTCCTCTTACTCTGACTTATTACTTGATGGTACTCAAGAAGTATACATTTAGGATATCTATATGTTTACTTGTTGATTCTTGCCTTTTATTTCACCATTGAATTGTGATTGGACATAGGAAATGCCATCCCAGATATGACACATCAGTGTACTGAATATTTTAAGCTCAAGGAGTTTAGAAAACAACCAAAGCAGGTGGATCTCTCTAGCCTTCTTCATTTCTCTTTATTCTACCTTTCTCTTCTGAGGTCAATAAAAGAATCCCCTGACCTGTCTCACCCAAAGGAGGCTAAAAGAGTCTCCTGTGGTCGGTGTCCCGCCTTCTAACCAGAGCAAAGGAACGCAGACGCAGGGACAGGAGAGCATAGGAACGAACAGGCGGTTGTTCTGCAGTGCTGTGACTGAGAAACTGACATACACAACTTAAATGAGAAAACATTTATCTCGGTTCACAATTTCAGGGGAGTTTCCATCTTTTATGGTGAGGAAGAGATTGAGGACTTTATGGCAACAGGGGTGTGTGGCAGACTCCTCACATGGCAGCAGACAGGAAGTAGAGAGCATGCTGGGAGGTGGGTGGGTATAGACTTCAGATGCCTACCTCTAATCACCTAATCAGACCCCACCTCTGAAAAACTCTGCAGCCTTAAAGTAGTGCCAGTTTGGGACAGACATTAAAACCAGGAACCTAGGGCTCAGCAGAGAGCTTTCCCGAAAGCCTGAGGAGATGGCTTTGGATCCCATGTAAACAGCTGAGCATGGTGGTGTGCACCTGTCTCAGAAAACAGCACCTTGGAGACAGAGACAGAGAACTCCTGGAGTTTCTGGCATGTCGGTCTAGCTGAATTGGAAAGGACCAGGTTCAGAGAGATCGGAAAAAAACACCAACACGAGGCTTCCACACATGCACACCACACATTGTATTAGTTGCAGTAAACATGATCTTTCTCCTGGACAGAACAGCTTACCAAGAGCAAAAGCTTACTTGAATTCATCCTTTTAGAGGATTTAGCCTACCCTAGAGGGGGTGGCAAAGTAGTGGAGCAGCCGTGTCTGTGGGTCCAAGTCAGAGGCAGCTGTCCACATGTGGCAGGCAGGGAATAGAAAGGGCCAGGTAGAATCTTCAAAGGCCTACTACCCCTGTGACTTATTTCTGCTAGCCAGGTGCTACTCCAGAAGTCTCTACTACCTACAAAATAGCCCCACAAGGTGGAGACTGATTTCTCAAAACATGAGCCTCTAGGAGAGGACTTTTTTGGTTTTTTTGGGTTTTTGGTTTTTTTTTTTTTTTTTTTTTTTTGAGACAGGGGTTTCTCTGTATCAGCCCTAGCTGTTCTGGAACTCACTCTGTAGACCTGGCTGGCCTTGAACTCACAGAGATCTGCCTGCCTCTGCCTTCTAAGTGCTGAGATTAAAGGTGTGTGCCACCGCCGCCCGGCTGGGAGAGGACCGTTTTTACTGCTGTTTCCTCAGGAACAGCGCCTAGTACACAGTTATACTAAAATATTTCCTAACGAATGAAAACGGGAGCCCGAAGGGCACAAGTAAGGTAAGGGATTTGGTGTGACCTACTGTAGTATTTTGTGTTCTAGGCAGGGGGTAAAATTTAAATCATTAGTCCATCAGTCAGTTTGTTGCCATTGAAAGATCTGAACAGGAAAGTGAGAGCAAGCCATGCAGTTGAAAGATTAAATTGGTCCTGAGGTGTTGAATTAATTCTTAAAACATCATCAAGAGCTGAAGAGATTGCTCAGTTGGTAAGTGCCTGGCACACAAGTATGGAGGCCTAAGGTCAGGTCTCTATGCCCACATCAAAAGCTGGGTGTGGTGTACACTTGTAATCCCAGTGCTGGGGAAGCAGAGGCAGGAGGATCCCTGGGTTTCTGGCCAACTACTCTAGGTAAATTGGAGAATTCCAGATTCAGTGAGAGACCTTATCTCCAGAAACAAAGTAGACAGTGGTTGTGTCGGATACCCATCATCCATCCAGCGGCTTCAGTGTGTGTGCCCACACGTCCACAGACTTATGTCAGTGCTTACCTCCTTCCCAGCCTAGCATTCCACAGCACCGCCAAAGGTGCCTTTTGGAAATAGTTTGATTCACAAGGAACTGTTGAAATAGTTAAATGAGTTGTACTAATAATACACTCCATTACTTCAGTTTCACATACAAGAAAATTACTTTGGTGTCATACTGCTAACCCAGGGACAGATCTCAGTCAAATATAAGCAGATTCTGTATATCCTTTTTTTTTTTGGGTGGTGTTCTGTGTAGCCCGGAGAATGATCTATGATAACAATAGCCCGGAGAATGATCTATGATAACAATAGGCTCAGTTTTGGAATGAGTGACTTTACTAAGTATATTCTAGAGTAAAGGAATAAATAGCAAGAGAGAGACAAACATCCGCAACCATCAGAGTGCCTAGACACTCAGCCGAAAGCAGTGACCTTTGTCTCCAAGGCTGACCTGGCTGTGGAGAACTTCCAGCTTCCCCTCCCCACTGCAGGCCTCTTATACTGTGGGATGAACAACAGTGGCCTCCCTCGGAAACAGTCACCTTCTAGCTGTCCTCAGGGGCACGGTGTCTCTTGGACTGTTTGCTTTTCTTTTCCCTCCCTGTCAGAGTTGACTTGGGGAGGTAGACTCTCCCCAAACAAGGGACCTTGGAGAACACCTTGAGACCAACATTTGTGAATCTAAAAGCAAGTGTGCAACCCCACTTCCTAAGCCTGCTTCTCATGAGTTCAAACAGCATGTGATAAGTTACTAAAACAATGTGCACTATAGGCGTACAGTTGAAAATTTTTATCAAAAATGTCATTTAATGGTTCTACATCATTTAGTGATTTACTTTTTGGACAAAGTGTTTAACACCATTCTTTACTGCCCCCCATTTACATATGAATAAGTGAAAAGCCTGTTTTCTTTTTTTCTGCTTTGGTGTTTCTGTGGACAGGTAAAATAAATTTTTCTTTTCTATTACACTAAAGATGCTTTTAAATTGATTTTTCACAAGTTGTAACATGTATCATTTATTAATTTTTAGTTTCTTATCTCATTTAAAGCTAGCATATTACATTATTTCTTTCTATTGAGAACTTGTTTATACAGCAATGTGTCATGTTTTTTTTTTATGATAGCAAAGTAATTCTTTAATACTTGATAGAGCACGAAAGCTTTTTCCCTTTGTCTACCCAGGCAATCATCTATTAATAATTTCAAAATTGGTAAGGGTGGTGGGTGGAAAGGTGATTATTACTTAACCCTTTAAAGTCCCCTAAATTTTCTTAACTTCTAAATATATTCTGCTAGTCTGATTATCTTAATAAAATTCCACTTTGCTAGTTTTATATTAATGAATGCAGCTTTAAGTGATTTTCAGATTCATTTAAAACTGTGTTAAATGTAATCATGTAGTTCAGTTCCTGCAGCTGTGCTGAAATATTTATGTGCACTGTGTACTACTGTGTACTGCTGTTGCTGGTGCCTGAGCTGAAGTTGTAGGTCTTTAGTGAATTCTGAATTAAAAGGCTGTCCTGTGCATGACAGCTGAACCAAGACCAAGGTCTGTCTTAATGGACTTAGCACATTTCTTACAGGTTCTGAGTTCTGTTCGCACAGAATGGAATCCTCTGGATGTTCACTTTGGCACCAAACAGCCTCATCAGGTGTTCACAGTGGAGTGCTCCAGCGGTGTAGACAAGGAGCCCATGGCTGACAGCTGTGTCTATGAATGTGTCCGGAACAAACTCCATTGCGTGTCAGTTACCAGAATACCACTAAAATCGAAGGCCATCAGCTGTTGCAGGAATTCCACTGAAGACAAACTGATTGTGGGCTGTGAAGACTCGTCAGTAATTCTCTATGAAGCGCACCGCGGAGTGACTCTCTTGGCCCAGGCTGAACTTTTGCCGTCATTAATAAGCTGCCACCCAAGTGGTGCCATTCTGCTAGTTGGCAGCAACCAAGGGGAACTGCAAATTTTTGACATTGCTCTAGCCCCTATTAACATCCAGCTCTTGGCTGAAGATCGCTTACCCAGGGAGACTCTGCAATTCAATAAATTCTTTGATGTTTCAAGCAGTCTTGTTCAAATGCAGTGGATAGCTTCTCCTGTTGTTTCCCAGAAGTCTGAAAGAGGAGAAATCTATGATCTCCTCTTCCTCAGGTTCAGCAGAGGACCTGTGGGTGTGCTGTTGTTTAAACTTGGTAAGTCAAGTAGACTGGTAAGTACCTTGTTTATGTTGGTTACATAGCTAAGGCATCAAACTATTCTTCAAATGGTAGGTTTTTTGTTTGTCATCCCATAAGTATGTTTACCTTTCAGTGATTGCCTATAGGTTCTTTGAAAACACTGTGGGTAGTTTTCTAATTAGCAAAAGAATGTTAAATATTGGAGACTTTGGAAATTGTGCTAATTGTCCATAATGATGGTTTAAAAGTATGAATTTTCAGAGCTGGTGGGATAGCTCAAGGGTTAAGAGTGTTTGCTGTTCTTTCAGAGGACCCAGGTTCAGTTGCCAGCACCTACATGGTGGCTCATAACTACTTGTAACTCCAGTTTCAGGGAAGCTGATGCCACCTTCTGGCCTTCCCAAGCACTGCATACACATGGTACACAGAAACTCATGTAAGTGTGCACACACATACACAAATATATAATAAATATTTTTAAAATCTGAACTTTCATCTCTATTTTTTCTGAAATAATTGTCTAAAATATTCCATAAGAAATAGATAGATCAAAAATTTTAAATTAACTGAATTCATCGTGAAAACCTGTGTTATAGAATGTAATACTTTTCTATAAAAATTATTTTAGCTCATCCATGTCTGTTGCTGTCCAGGTTGAAATTGTGTAGAGCAAATGTTTAAAGGGAAATTAAGTCAGATACTTAGTTAGAATTTACTGAAGATCTTGTGTAACTTTGTGGGTTTTTTGTTTTTGTTGTTTGTTTTTTCTGTTTGTATAGAAAATATCTGAAGGTCTTTTTTAGTGTCTATAAATTATAAAGTAGCCTTTAAGTTATATATATATATGAAGTATATAGCTTGTGGGTTTTTTGTTTTTGTTTGTTTTTTCTGTTTGTATAGAAATATTTAAGGTCTTTCTTAGTGTCTATAAATTATAAAGTAGCCTTTAAGTTTTTAATATATATAAAGTATATAGCTTTTAAGATTTTCTCATATATATATATACATATATATATATATCTTTTTAAAAATAATATAGCTTTTTAAGGTTCTACTAAGGAACCTTAACGTGAAATAATATGGATTTTTGTAGCTTTGGATTACTAGGTATGTATTGAAAGAACAAGGACTGCTTTAGGTGGTTTTGTATAATTTAACATTCTTTGAGGAACTTAGGTTTACAAAAAGCATTTTTTAAATGAACACGCATTATGTACTTGAAGAGAAAATAGGAAAATGCATTTGAAAACCTTGCAGGGTTTGCTGTGGATGCAGAGTTAGGTTTTAGAGACGTCACGGTGTTTGTCAAGCCCTGGCTGCTTTCTCTGTTTTCACACTGATCTATTTGCCTCCAAATTGAATGTTAGAAGTAAGTCTGGTAAAAATGATTTGATTAACCTGAGACAGAGTGCATATATGATGCCTATGTTCCTTCTAACAGTAGAAATGCCACTGACAGTTTATAATGTTAAAATTGTTAAAAAATGTTTGGAATCTCTGTTATTATAAGATAATCCAGTTAGACTTTGACCAACTACATTTTAACAGTTGTATGTCTCCATATACAGCACTAACTAATTAAAGTGGATGCTTGATGTTTTCTATGTCTGTTAAAACATACAGTCTCTCTCTCTGTCTCTCTCTCTCTGTCTCTTTCTCTGTCTCTCTCTCTCTGTCTCTCTCTCTGTCTCTGTCTCTCTGTCTTTGTCTCTGTCTCTGTCTGTGTCTCTGTCTCTGTCTTTGTCTCTGTCTCTCTCTGTCTCTCTGTCTCTGTCTCTCTGTCTCTGTCTCTGTCTCTCTCTGTCTCTGTCTCTCTGTCTTTGTCTCTGTCTCTCTGTCTCTGTCTCTGTCTGTCTCTCTGTCTCTGTCTCTGTCTCTCTCTCTCTCCTACCTTTTCTTTCTCTTCTCTCCTTCCCTTAAATTACTCAGCTACCTGTCAAACAGAATGCTGTCTGTCCATGCACACCTAACATCCCTTCCACTCTTCCTTGTGGGCCTCCTCACAACAGCTTTGCAAAAAGCACAGTTTTGTCTTCCTGTCTCTAGTGAATTTGCCTTCTTACTAAAGTAAACAGGCTCTCAGTGTAGGGATTTAGAGGGCTTCCTGCTAATTGCCAGCTTGTAAACTTAATTGGACTGTCTCCCTGGGCACTGTTCCTAAATCAATTAGGCAATGAGTTGGCTGTCACCTCTTTCCCAAGAAGGTCTCTTGGAATAGAATTATCCAATAGAAGTCAAGCGTTCAGATAGAAAGGTGATGACTTCTGCAACTGACATTTATCTTTTAAATTGTATTTTCATTTAAGTCTACAGGACAGAGAAACTGCAGTCTTACAGTTTAGCTCTTTGAAAGAGCTAAATGTGAAATATCTAAGGATTTTTTTAAAAGCTTTGTGTCCCATTTTTAATGTATTATGAAATTAATATTTATATCAAATTTTCTTTCCTGGGAGGAGTAGATTACTTGAAATAGTAGATTCCAACCAGCAATTTTTTTAAAAAAGAAAACCTAGTTTTAAAGAACAGATTTTTCTTATGATCTGCTACTAAATACATCCAAAAATTAATATACTTCTTGAATTAACACAGAGCTGATTCTGGGCATCCATGTGGCATTTTCATGTATAATTCAAGTTACTGCATATGTAAACAGGTAGTTGCATGTGCAGCTCTCCCGAGAGAGAGCTTTATGAGACTCTTTTTCAGATGCTTGTTATGCAAGCTTTTGGAAAATTTGACATGAAAGGTGTAGCTTACAATTTAAAATTGTAAAGACAAATCATAGATCATAGTTTAAAATAGAATGCTGTCACATGTAAACGTGGCAGTGGCGGATGCCAATATGCTAACATTTTTGGAGTTTCACTGTAGAACAGGTCAGTTAGTATACTGCTGTAGGAAAACTCTTAAGGATAGACGTTCCATTCTTATTCCTTTCAATGGTTACACAAGAATGTTGGGTATGTAAAGGACATCTTCTCTGTTTCAAAAAGACTTCCCGATGAGTGTTTTCCTTGGGAAACAGAAGTGTCATGCTCCCAACGTTGTGTTCTAGACAGAGTAAGTGCACTATTCAGAAAGCCTTGTGACATTATGCTCATGCTGTGTCTGCACGTGTGTAGACTGGGGTTAGTTATGAGAGGGGCCCTGGTCACTGTACTGAGATGAAACCTATCTAGCCCTCTCCACTCTTTCAGTGCTTTAACGCCATCAGGTCTTGTCCTAACACAGGCTCTCTCCTGGTATTAGCACTTCATTGAGTCTACCTGCTCCCCCCGCCCCCAGTCCACTAATGGTGTATGCTGTGAAGGGCCAGGCTGCTAGTGCTAGCCCTAGGCTGCTCTTGCCACCACTGTTCCTGTGACACCTGTACTTTGTGGTCCTTCCTACCTACCATGAATCTTAGTACATCAGTGCATAAGCAGGCCCTGGCCACCTCATAAAAAACAAATCTTCATTGACAGTGTTTCTCTTTTGCTTCTGAACAAGTGTTCCACTTTCTTCCATCTCTAAAGTCACTGATGTGACAGTGAACACCGACTTTGCCGACATCTTTGCTTCTCACTGCCTCCTCAGTACCATAACTATGGCTTGGGTCTGCAGCACTTTCTGAACTACTCATGGAGAGATCTCTGGTGATTTCCTGTGTGATAAATGTATTACCTTTGTTGATGTTGGCCGAACTACCTCCATAATCAAAGAACATTTTTTTATGACTCTGAACACAGCTCTTTTTTTTCACTTGTCTTCTGCCTACTCATGAAATGGAGTTCTTCAGGAGGATACTTCTGGTTCTTATCTCATTTTGTTCAGGCTGAAAGTTTCTTTATAATTCATCTGTGCACTATGGTTTGAATTTCATCTCTGAAAGCCATAGTGATGTTTGATTGCCACTGTAACAGTGTGAAGAGGTAGAATCTCCAAGAACTGATTAGGTCCCAAGGAATCTGCTCTCATAAATGGATTGATGCAGTTGCTGAGGGGTGTGTTTGCTGTATATGCAGTCTCCACTTACCCTTGTACCATGTCATAAGCTAAATAAACTTGCACTGCTTATAATCTACTCAGTCAGTTATAGGAGCAGAGAATGGACTCAGCCACTGTCCTATCTCTGACTCTGTCCAAAATTGTTCCTGATTCTACATCTACACATTTCCCTGAGTTGCTGGATACTGCCTCATATAATGTGTAGGTATGCAGCCACCATCATTTCACCCAAACCCACTTTTCTATATTCTCCACTTTAGTAGATGTTATAATTATTTAGTTGGAGCCTCCAAATCAAAAACTTTCATATATTATCCTCATCAAATAGAGACCTTCTGTTCATACTCCTCTGTTTTCCATTCATTACCCTGATTATATCCCAAACACTTAAGAGGTATCTTTGTAACAGATCAAATTTGGTCATGGATTATCCAACTGTAATACTCAGTGGTAGATTAATAACATCTGCTTCTCAGGTTATGGCTCCCCACCTACACCATAACAGTGTAGCTTCCTAACCAACGCATATGCTCTCTGACTCACTTTCTGTGGTGATGATGGTGGTGGTGGTGGTGATGATGGTCTAGCTACATGAATGACCCTACAGTGCCCACATGGAGCCTGCAAAGCTGGGAATAACCTAAATTAAAGCTAATGTCTTTTCTCTCATTGAGTTTTAAAAATCCCAGACTCTGTGTGTGTGTGTGTGTGTGTGTGTGTGTGTGTGTGTGTGTGTGTGTGTGTATCTGTGTCTGTCTGTCTGTCTCTCTAAAAAGCAAGAACTATGTATGTTTTTTTTGAGAAACTTTGTAATATAATATTTTCTTTAAATGTCATTTTTTAATAATTGAGTTTAATATTTTGACAGCTGAGTAACATTGACTTATTTTAGTATTATAGCTTGCTCAACATGTGATGGTAGTTAATTGCTGCAAAAGATGTGTCAAATATCAAATAGTATATGATATATATATATATCTCCTATGTATAGAATATTCAAAGAATAGAGGAGAAAAGACATGAAAGTAGGGAGACAAGTAGAAAGGAAGATGTCAAACAACAGTAGGGGAGCATGAGAGAGGGCAGTGGAGAGGAAGATCGAGTATAGCCTGTTTTCTCTCATGAAATCAGAAGGGATCAGCAAGGCTGGAGGTAAGGGAGGTTGCAAAGTCAACCAAAATCCAGTGATACATGTGTAAGGAAATGTAACAATGAAATCCATTAATTCTGAAAAGGAGAGAAAAGAAATGTAGGTATTATGTTGGATGTCTTATCAACTTTAATGGCTCTTGTCATCTCTGAGTTCATTTGAAATGAACCTTTTTTTCTACACAGCGTCTGCTTCCTTCACTTTAGAAAGATAATGGTTTTATTATCAAGTTTATTGAAGTGTAATCTGCATAAATACAATATGCCCACTTAAAATGCTTGTCAGTGAGTTTACTACATACATTCCCATGATTGCTAACACAAACAAGATACACATTCCCATCACTCCAAAACATTCTCCTACAGTCCTTCCTCAAAGCTCATAAGCACTACTTTGATTGCTCTCATTGTCAATTAGATTTGCTATTTACAGAATTCCATAGAAATGTGGCCATAGAGTAAATACTCTTGTGTCTAGATGCTTTCACAGTCAGCATTAACATGCAAGAATCTTCCATATTGGTATTTATCTGTTAGTTAGTTTCCTTTCATGTTACCTTACAGTCATCCATTATATTGCTACTCCATGATACTTCATTAGTCTTTCACATGTTGGTGGACATTTGGTTTATTTCAGGTTCTAAGCTAAAGCACTAAAAATATCCTGTGCTTTTATGACCAAGTCTTTATATGGACACATATTTTCATTGCTATTGGGAAAAACCTAGACAACGACATTGTCAGGGCCATGTGCTACTTGGAAAGAAAGATGGTTCTCTAAAAGGGTTGTACAGTTTAGTGTGTGGGTGAGCAAGGAGAGCAGTAGTTGTTCCACACTTTCAAAAGACATTACATCAATGGTCTTTTTCATTTTAGCCATTAGGGTGCATATATAGTATTGTTAGTTTCATTTCCCTGATGACTTTTGGAGTTGAGCATATTATGGTTAGTGCCATATATTTTCTTTTCTTTATTATTATTTTTCCTTTTATTCATATTTTGTATTTTTAAAAATTTAACAACAACTTCTAGTGGACTTTGAAGATTTGTTTTATTTTTAATTATGTTTATGTGTATGTAGACATGTGAATGTAGAACACAGGGTTCAGGAGAGGGAATTTGATCCCCTGGAGCTGGAGTTACAGGTAGTTGTGAGCTGTGTGTTGTAGGTACTGGAAACTGAACTTAGGTCCTCTGCAAGAACAGTCAGTATGTACTCTTTTTTTTTTTTTTTTTAAGATTTATTTATTATGTATACAGCACTTATGACTGCAGGCCAGAAGAGGGCACCAGATCTCATTGCAGATGGTTGTGAGCCACCATGTGGTTGCTGGTAATTGAACTCAGGACCTCTGGAAGAGCACCCAGTGCTCTTAATCTCTGAGCCATCTCTCTAGCCTCAGTATGTACTCTTAACCACTGAGCCGTCTCTCCAATTCCTCAGGGCTAAATCTCTAGTGATAAATCTCACTTGGTGACATTTCTTGTCAATATTTGGAGATTTCCTAGTTCTCTCTCTGTTTTTATATCTAATTCCTTTGATGTTAGAAAACTAATCTAGTCCTATGATTTCAAACCTTTGAAATGCACTGTAGGATGTTTTATTACTCTGAACATGCTTTAGCTTGGTTCATGTTTTGTGTGTCCTCAAAAAGAATGCATGTTCCACTGTTGTTGGATAAAATGTTTTACAAGTGTTGGGTTAGGGGTGTAGCTACTCTTGGACAGGCATGGCTGTGCACACCTGTAATCCCAGCACAGGAGAGTCAGAAGCCAGAGGGTCAGAAGTTCAAGACCATCCTCTACTATATAAAGAGTCTGAAGCCAGCCTGGACTACATATGACCTGTCATGGAAAAAAAAAGAAACAAAAGAAAATATATCTAGTTGGTAATTTTTCACTGACAGTGTTTTTCAAGTATTTTTCCAGAATTTCTGTTTATATAGTCTCTGATTCATGAAAGATACACTGAAATCCAGTTGTCTACTTAGGTCTTCCCACCCCGTTCAGTTCTGTCCGTGCTTGTTGCATTATTCAGAACTCTATTATTAGATGTATTTAAAGACTTTCTATCTCTTCATGAATTCTGAATCCTCTATTATAAGAGTTTAGAATTCTAGGTTATTTTTATTTTTATCTTAAGCCCTTTAAAAGTGTCTTCCTGTTGTTGTCTAGTTTGCATAATTTCAGATGCAAAGCCTATTATCATTCATTTTTTGTTTCTCTGTATGTCCTGTGTCTCCTCCACCACCATTAAAAATAACACTGTCTTTACTTTTGAACTGTTTGACTGTGATCATATGTAGCCTTTGTTCAGAGCGGCTTCCTTCCGCCTCTCGTTCCTAGTAGAATTGCTGTTTCTGACAGAGGTCGGCGAAGAGACTGTTTTCAGTTTCTGCAAAGTTGCTACACATGCCATCTACTGCCAGGAGCTGCCTGATTTATGACTAGGACTTCCAGTGCTTGACACAGACTCATGAGCTTTGGTAGCTACATCTGTTGATTCTACAACTTAAAAGGAATAGTAAAGTTTTACTGCTTAGTATACTTAGGGCCATTCCCCAGATTCCCTGTCAAGTTGAGTCTTGTTAGATACAGCATAAGTAGGTTTGTTTTTTTCTTTTTATGTAACTTGGAGTTAGTATGAAGAATTTCAGCATCTTTCTCATGAACTAATATATTTTGAAAATCATGAAACCTATAAATATTCCAATTAAATTCTGATGATAGTAATAAAAAGAATTACAGTAATGTTTTATATTATTTTATAGCTTATAAAATAATTTCACAGAAATTTTCTCATTTAGTTTTATGATTATTTGTACTGAGTTTTTATAGACTTACCTAAATCAATAAAACACTTGCTGAAGAAAAAAACTACAGTTAGCATTTAAATTTTTTCCTTTGGTGTATATGGATATTTACATATTTGTGTGTATGTTACATGTGTGCGCGTGGAGGTCAGGGGTCAGTTCTAGAGACTTTCTCAGTTGCTTTCCATTGTTTTGGTCCCTCTCTGAACTTGAAGTTCCCCCATTCAACTAGACTGGCTGGCCAGCGAGCGCTCGGGATACCCTGGCTTCATTTCCTCTGCGCTGAGGTCATAGACATGCACTGCTCTGCCTGACTTTTACATTGGCTTCTGGAGGCTTGACCTTGGGTCCTCATGCTTACTCACCAACAGTTCATCAGCTGGCCATCTTCCCAGCCCCATTTTTAAAAGATGAAAAAATGAAACAAACGAAACGGAACAGTGCTTAAAAGCTAGTGTTTGCCATTTTACATGGAAAAGTTGTCCGTTTCAAATGCCAATGGCCTTTTCTAAATGAAACTAAATGACTCTGGCTGAACTTTTTTTTTTTAATGTTCCTGCTCTGTCAACATTAGAAGTGGATTTATTTTCTTTTGAAAGGGCAAACCAGTGTGCCTCTGATTTCCCAGTATGTTTTTTCCCTTGTGTAAAGAGTGTGTTTGGTTTTACTACTTTACTTTGTATTTTCAAGATTCACCTAGCTTTACTTGTTTTGTGACAGGTGTCCTCACTCGAGGACAGCTTGGCCTGGTAGACCTCATCTTCCAGTACATTCACTGTGATGAGATGAATGAGGCAATAAACATCCTGAGCAGCATGGACTGGGACGCCATGGGCCAGCAGTGCCTCGTCAGCATGAGCGCCATCATGAACCATCTTCTTCGACAAAGACTCACTCCAGAGAGAGAAGGTCAGACATCAGTGGTTTTGAGTGTACGTGAAAATCCATTTTGAGTCCGTTTCAGAATGATTGTTAGTTATGTTATTGCAGACTGAAGGACAAAAGTATTAATGCTCTATTAAAAGTGAAAGGATATCAAAAATTATTACCAAATGGTACTTCCTGTGTGGTATTTGTCAACACAGAGGACACCTTTTCTGCCTGTTTCTGTGTTGAAACTCAGTGTCGTCGTTACACAGTTCAGTCAAGCTCATGTCTGGAATATGCTCAGATTTAAGATCTGATCAGAAATTTCATTTATTCTCTCTGCAGACAAAGGACAGCAAACCAAGGTCTTCTTCTTATCTCATGTTAAACACCAGTGTGTTTTCTCACTCGTAAGTCCTCTGTCCAGAAAGTAGTTCCTTACACTTCCTTTTGTGTGTGTCAGAATTGTCTGTAGCCCAGCTGCCCTTCTGGTTTTCATCCTTTGGGTCTGTACTTTTGATGTACATCTCGCTTCTCCTGCTTGGATTTCCTCACCTTTTCTTGGGAATTTGCCCACGGAAATCCAAGATGTGTTGTTGAGGTTGAGGGCACTAAGGAAACAAATGACACATAAGATATGAAAACAGATTTTTACATCTCCACTTCTCTAGCATGTATTTATGAGTTGTTATTCCTTTATATGATAGAAAATATACCAAAATAGCTGGGATTTAGAATTTTATTTCATATCTTTGTGCTACTAATATAAACATTAGGAAGTTATAACTAGACAGTATCACTAAATAATACAGGATAAGAAAATTAGGGAAAGTCTATTACTGGAGAACATTTTCTTTTTTAGTATTTTCAGTGTGTTTTAATAGACTTTCTTTATTTTTATTACCTTTCCAAAATAAAAAGTTTTTTTTTTGATAAAAATCTGTAGTTGACTGGTAAGCTCGTGAATCTCTAGGAAGTTTATATTATAGACTTTAACCTAACTCCCAGAATTCCCTTCTACTATGTGTTTAAGAATCAGCTAAACTTTTTGAAAGTAGTCCAAATTCTTCTATGGAAATGTCAGTATTTTTACATGAAGAAAATGTCTACCACAGTGCATGACCCACTGTTGGTATTCAAGAAATATAGGTTAGAAAGAAAAAGTATAACCCCAAGATTTTAGGGGATAAAGATTTACTGTAATTTTGCCTACAGAGTTATCTCAAGTAATTATTTTTTTTTAATATTGATACACTTCTCAAGATTGAGTACTTGTCAAAAGTAACAACAGAAACAAAAGAGCAGAGTCTCCCAGGTCTGTAGTGATATACATGCTCTGTGTAATAAGTCCCAAGTTCACAGTTAAAGAAGAAATACGGAGACATAAAATATTGAGTTTCACTCCAGACACTGAGAAGTTGCTTGCACCTTATTGAATTTATGTTATTAAATTGCTAGGTTGTAAGAAAGATTATGAAGAAATGCACAAATGGGCATTATCAGATTCCTATCCTAATAAAGGATTTTTTCACAGACTTGTATTGGAGAAATAGAGAAATAAAAACCTTTTATAATATTGGGCTATTAAAACAAACTCTCTATATATCCTGGGTTATCCAAATATGTATATGCTAAGTAGCTATGTGCATTTCCTCTCAAGTAACTACAAAACACATTTCTAAAACATTCAGAATTCCCTGTTGAGATTTATTTTATCTGAATCTAACAAATTTGACATGGTAATTCATTGGCCTTTTATTAGTGAAACCTAGTGCGCTGTTATTTCTATCCGTGTTGTGTCTGTCTTTGAGATCTTCATTTCTGCCTTCAACATCAAGCTGGGCAGCCTAATGAATCCGTAGCTGTGCTGGGAGTTACACGTATTCCATGTAGACTTGAACATTTCAGATGTACGGAACATGCTGTCAGGAAAACAAGCAATAGGAAAAGAATCTGGCTTGTTTTCACAGTGACAGTGCTATGTTCAATTTTAATCTAAATTGACTGCTGCTTTGAAAGAAAATACCTCCAAAATGCATCCTATTTTACTGTGTAGATTTGAGATTGGAAAAAAGTAAAGACATTACTGAAGCTTAGTCAAGCCATAGCAATTACTCTGATGAGGTATTTACTACTTGGAAATCTAAATAGGCCGACAACTAAGAGTTTTGCTAAATAATGACTTGTTTATTCAATCCAGTGTTGGAAGCACAAATATTAGAGGAATCTAACTGTGAACTATAGTATACTCATACATACTCATGTTCTCTCCATATGGTAATTGCTTCCAGGTATTTCTGGGCAGAAGCACAGCCCCACTGGCATATCTTGGTAAAACTGTGAAGTAGACAGGCTGCTCCTTATCCCCTAATCTCTTATCTCTGAGCCTCCCCCGTTTATGAAAAACATCTTTCCAATCTTCTCCTATCCCAGGGTATTTGTTTTCATGAAAGGACAAACCACGGAACCTTGTTTATGGCAGGATTTAGGGACAAGATACAGATTTTCATTGTTCTCCTAAAATTGCATCACAGACATATCTTACCCCAATATATGCCTTTATTTGTATTATTTAATTTTAAATATTATATATATATATATATATATATATATATATATATATATAGTTAGTCACTTAGTGAGTGTGTGTGCATGCGTGCGTGCATGTGTGTGCATGTGCATTAGCCATAGTATATGTGTGGAGGTCAGAGAACTTGTGGGAGTCATTCTCTTCTCTACCATATGGATCCTGGGGATTGAACTCAGGTCATCAGGCTTGGTAGCAGATGTCTTTCACTGCTGAGCTATCTTATTGGCCCCTTATTGGTATTTTTTAAGAAAACATTTCTACTGTGCTAATTTCATTTCCCTGTTCAAAAAGTTAGTTTTCTCTTTTCCAATAAAGAGAACACATAATGTTGAGCACACTGCAAATTGATTTTACTGGAAATACTAGTTCAAACTGTATTACTTTGATGAGTCACTGTTTTAATTACCCATTTGTGGTGAGACGTTGGTTCATTATGGATTTCTTCAATTTTGACAGCTTTTTGTTGCTCAGAGTCATTGTCAGCTTTGTCTCAAGTGACATTTTATACACAGGTTTGTTTTTGTACCAGCTGTCATATTTTAATTTCATCTTTCCTGCAACAAGTTCACATTTCATCCAAATTTGCAGAACCTGACTGACTGCAAACACGAATATTCTGTTGTAATTGAAGGAGTTTCTCTTGTTTTAAGTGCTGCTATGTTTAAATTCCACAGCGCAGCTTGAGACAAGCCTTGGAACCTTCTATGCTCCAACAAGACCACTTCTGGATACAACTATTTTGGAGTACAGAGACCAGATCAGCAAGTATGCCAGGAGATTCTTCCACCACTTACTCAGGTGAATGATACCGCCAGTTGGTGGGCATCAGCTACATATTAAAGAGCTGCCTTTCATGAATGCTCCTCCATAATATGGCCATTTTCTGACAGCTTTCCTCTTTAAAAGAAAAGCACATTGTATTAGTCTTTATTTGTTATTCATTTCCTTTTTAGGAATATTATCTAGGGCCTTTACATCATCAGTAATGCATTCTACCCTTTAATATGATACTAAAAGCTATGTGGAAAATTCAACATGAAAACGTGAACTGAACTTTGTTCCTATCCTAAACAAATATTCTGGTTTAAACTGAAGGCAGAGCTCTGTGTCTGTGCTATGAGGCTGTGAGGCAGTTGTTGACTTGCCATCTTTTCATGATTGCTAGAGAGACTTCTCCATTGTCCTTGCATATGATGTGGCAGTTGCCAACCTCACTGTAACTCGTTTTTCTACTTTATGTGTATATATGTGTTCTTTCAACCTTATGAATTATTTGACAGTTTGATAAAAATGTCAAATATTGCTCTGAGAAAAAAATTCTGTAAGTTGGAGGATAGCATACATTCACAGAGAAGGATGGAAGGGAGATAAAAATCTGGATAGAAAGATTACAGACTCATAAATGCTGTGGTAACTAGTATTAAAATCAGGTAAATGGTTATTGTGAGAGTTATTTTCTGGAATGAAAAGAAATGTAATAGTGGACAGGTGACTGGGATGCTCAAATACATCAATCATGATCCATTTCTCAGGATGAGTGGTATGTACCAGGGTCTGTTACAGATTCCCTCTTTCAGTTGTTTATGTGCCCTTACTGTATTCTGTATAGGTGTGCTATAGTAAACTTTTGAGTTCTGTTTACAAAAAGGAAGGACTGTGTGAAGGAGTTGACTTTTCTAATAATGTCCTTGCTGCCGTACTGTGCAGGACATTTAAAGACTTTGATAATAGTTCTTATATTTTATCAGAACAACTTTATAAGGGAGTGCTATCATGTCCTGAAGTAATAACCTCAGGCTTAGAGGATCGGCTTACTTAGATGAACAACAAGTGGCCATGGATCTAGGGCTGGTTCCACTGTTTTTTACTCTTTCCTGAAGATGCTTACTATAACTTGTTGTTTAGTTTTCAGATACTACCTTCCAAAATAACTGTGAGTTGTCATCTGTGCAAGAATAGGCTGATTGACAGATGTTCAACTGTCCCAAAAGTGGGGGGACTCAGATTGGTCAAGCTTGAGGAGGTATACTGTTAGACAGGCATTTGTGCTCCATAATTAATTTTATCTATATATAAAGTGGTACTTTGAACTCTACACAGCAGTGAGGCCTTTAGAAAAATCATATTTTTGGAAGCCAGGGAATGTTAATATATTGCAAGAGTTATTATCTGTAATTGAATCTTGCCTTTTTATCTGAATGGTGTTAGCATATTTCAAGAGACGCTTCATCTTAAATGTGACAGTCTTCATCCATGAGCATATCCTGAAAACACTGGGGTTAAAGGCACGCGTACTTGAACTTACGGCTTTGCTCTTTGCTTTCCTTGCTGTTTTGTTTTTCTTGTTTCTGGGGAAGATTGGTGAGTGAACTTCTTACCTAAAGAGCTCAAAAAGATCACTGTGGTTTTGGCCTCTTGATTTTACAGCAGTTGTTTGTATTTTTACAACCTCTGCCCTAGGAAGCTCATCCATGAACGTGAATATTCTTCCTCTGCGGGTTTTAAATTGGGTGTTTTGTGACAGGGTGACTCTTCCTCTGTCATCAGGATTATATTCAAACTGGTCTGTTTGGTCTGGTGAGCTGTTTCTCTTTGGGAATGCTTACTTTTTCATGTTCCTGTTTTTGAATGCTTTTAGTTGCAATGAAATTCACTAGTTTCTCTTTCAGTAGTAGGCTATACAGGGCATTAAAAAAAGAAATGGGCGGTGGTGGCACACACCTTTCATCCCAGCACTTGGGAAGCAGAGCCAGGCAGATCTCTGTGAGTTCGAGGCCAGCCTGGTCTACAGAGCGAGCTCCAGGACAGGCCCCAAAGCTACACAGAGAAACCCATCTTGAAAAACCAAAAGAAAAGAGAAATGTATGTTAGTAGAAACTGAATGAGATAGCCTAAGTTGGAAACATCCTTTTGTTTAATGGGCCGAGAAGTTTTATCTAGGGGAAATGAAACAGGTCAAATGCCTTTTTTTAAAAAAGTGGGACCTGCTAGGATTGCATGAGACTTCCAGGTTTGGCTGGTCATTACTTTAACACTCCCTAAACACTTATTAAAGAATTAAGGCCACCTTGTGGCATTTTACATTGAGGAAGAAGACAGGAGCCTCAGGAGATTAGGAACATAGCTGAAGTTACTCGAGTGGGACTCAGGCGGGATTCCTGATGAGGGGAGTGCTGCGTTTTCTTTACTTTGATACAGTGTACAAAGGCTGAGGTCACAGTCTGACTTTGTGCTAATAGACAAGTGTATGTGTGGTTGTTAAAGCAAGTGTTTGTATACAATTTGGGTTTTGTTCTTGTTGGAGAGCAATTCTCCAGACATCTTTCTGTGTCTCTTGGCTTTTCAAGTTCAAACATACTGAAACTGTAAGACATATCTTTCTTGAGAACTCTTTGTATGTGTTCAAAATTGCTGAGTTTCAAAAAGAAATGTTCCCTGATAGTATAAATCATTCAATAAAGTGTTTGTTTTAATAAAATTAAAGAAGTAGTAGACTATTTATAAAAATTGTTAAGCTGCAGGACACCTACAAAAAATAAATGCAGCTTTGCCTGAAATATGCTTAGAAAGTAGTTCTTCACCTTTCCACCTCTGTGAAACGGACTAGTCTTCAGAGCACTTGGTGGGGAACCATTACCAAATAAGAGCTTTCCATCGCAAACCAACAGAAACTGTGATAGGAACAAGTAAATACTGATTAAATGAAAAAGCAAACATTTCACATGACTATGTCCCATAGGAAATTTATTTCATTAATGTGGAAGTAGAATGATTTACAGAGTTAATGATTTATTTTAATTAATTTTCTTTTCAAACATAAGGCTACTGTTTTCTGATACAGTAATGTGAATATGATTCTAACATAAAGGCAGGTGCTTTTGAAATGCTTGTAAAATAGTAAGCTATTTTGAGGAAGAAGACTTACTACTTAGAAATAAAAATATAATATTTATTATTTTATGTAGAGGAATGTAAGAATACATGTGTTCTCCCTTATACACAAAAAGTTAAAATGGATTGGTGTAGATAAGAATAGATAGGTGGCTAGATGTGTGATACCAGTTGTAACGTGATGTTAGAGCATAGGTGGTTCATGTTTATTCTGTCAGCTTTGCTGTATATCTGGACATTTCTGTAACAGAATGTGGCTGGTATATATTGTGTTGACGTTAATATTTGTACTAATAATTCAGGAAGAAGGGAAGAGCCAACCAGGGATTGAAACCTGAAATTTTGAGCCAAAATAAATCTTACTTCCTTTTGTTTCTCTTTTGATATTTATCACAGCAACAAAAAAGCCAACCCATGGGACAGGACAGACAGTGCAGTGGTAAAGAATGCATACAGGTCTTTTAGAGGACTTTAGTTTGGGTTTCAGCACCCACATCACCTTTAACTCCTGGGGATCTGATGCCTTCTTGTGACCTCCATGGGCACATGCATGCACACAGACAGAAACATGCACTCATGTGCATAAGAGTTTTAAAGAACCTTGGTATATGCCACTGAAAGCAAGCCTGACATTTCTGCCTTGTTGTTTATCTGCTCAGTTATGATGTCTGAAAACTACAGCGTTAAAATGAAAGCACATACATAACTTAAAAAAAGAATTAGGGGCTGGAGAGATGGCTCGGTGTTTAAGAATACGTGTTTGTCTTGCAGAGGGCCTAGGTTCAGTTCCCAGCACCCACTGGGAACTCCAGTTTCAGAGGGCTCAATGCCTTCTTCTGACCTGTGGAGAAGCCAAGCATGCATGTGATGCACAGACATGCACGTAGGCAAAACACTTACACAGAAAATGAATACATCTAATTCAATTTTTAAAAAAACTCTTAGGCTGTTTAACTATTAATAGAGAAACAGTTGGGGAGGTGAAATTTCTTTTTAGTTGTGAGGCTCCTCTGGTCTCTGAGACACTACAATCTTTTTGTTTCTGGCTCCTTTGAATTCATAATGTCAGACATAAGGTCTCTGAGATAAGCTTTACCTACTTAGGGAGTTCTAGGTTTCCCAAGTCCAAGTGCACACTTATGAGAATGTCAGTAGTAAGTTAGGAAGAGTGGCACACAAAAAAGTAGTGTACCTTCAAATACATCCACAGCAGCGCTGTCTGCTAATTCTAACTCTCATAACCATAATCACCCTGCGTGCTAAGTATAACCTTGTTATGACGAAACCTACTTATGACAGTGTTAGGCAATTGGGAATCTTAGGTCATTTAAGGGTGCTCCTCAGAATTAAGCCATTGCTAAGCAAATGTTGCCTAATGTTTGCCTGAGGCCATTTTCTCTTAGCAAACCTGTAGTCAGAACTTCTTAAAGACATAAAGATGTTGATCAGTGTTAAGTCTTTCCTTTAGGAAGAAATAATTGTTACCCAAAGGAAGGCAATCCGAAGAAGTGATAAGATTATGATTTTTAGGCCCTAGTACTCCTCATGGTTACAGGAAAAAAGTTTTTTGTTTTTGAAACTTTGGACTTTTATTTTAGTTAACAAAGAGTACTTCTGTGTATTTATAGAGAACAGTGTGAATTGAATCAAGTTAATTAACGTATCTGTCATCTCATCAATTTATTATTTTCTATACAGAGGATTTTGTATTTTAGCAAATTAGAAAGATGTAATACATTGTTATCAACTGGGGTTGCCACACAGTACAACAGATCATGGAAACTCACGCTGCCAGTCTGGTGGAAGCGCTGTCCATTGGATGAACATCGTCCCGTTCCCTGTGCCTTCCCCTCAGACTGTGTTTCTGAGATAATTTAGTAGCACTTGGCACTGAGTAGAATGCCCAT